GGGGGAGGGGCAGACAGGGGGGTGTGAAGGGAGTTTGGATGGTTCCATGGTCTGTGCTCTTTGTCTAATTCAGGGAAGGTAGCAGCCTGCTGGAGCCCACCCCAAGGATCCCTGTGCTATATGATATATGTCCTGGTGAGAGGTACCTCTTTTCTGGCTGTTAAAGTGCATTCCTGTGTAGATGTGGAAAGAGAGAAAGCACGCTAGAGCCAGAGCTAGGATCGGAATGTGAGCATTTCCTTAATTGGACACGAGTGCCTTGAACTGGCTCCAGTTTTAGTGTTTTCTTTCAAGAGCCTGGACCCTAAAGATTCCATAGAGTTTTCTTTCTCTAAAAATCCCCTTGGTTCAAAGGCCCCTTGATAGAAATAAAGAAAATGCCAGGGCCGAATCTCTTTGATATGTGGGAAGGCAAAAGCTTGTGGGCTGGCAGATCCCAGCCTTCTTTTGGGGGATGGGAGGTGGGGTGAAGGGATTCTGGGTGGAAAGAAGGAGCCCCCCCCCCCAAGATAGCACAGTGCAAGAGTACCCACATGCTTTATGTCGGGCCTCAGAGCCCTGATGATAGCATGCAAAGTCCTTTCCCCTGAGCATTTATAGAGCAATTTCTCTTTGCCTTATTAGTGTCCTGAGAGCTAAAAAGATTCCTGTTGCCTGCTTTATTGCTTTAGGAGTCTGGGACTCCTAAGAGAGCAGTCATGCAATGTGCCTGAGAACGGACAGCAAAGTGAGTCAAAGGCTAGAGGATTTGGTCTGGTGGGCTTGGGTTGTTTGTGCATGGACTGATTCCCTGACGGCTGAGGTGGGAAGCATGCCCACACACAGGCCTTGCTCACTCGTAATGCGTCCAGAACACAGCTGGACATGTGCTGCGGAGCACCGAAGACTGGAGGAACTCTTGGAGGGGTGAGGGGTGACGTGGGGACACTGGGGCCACCACAGCACCCACCGGCCAGAGCTTCACTGCTTGCCTCCATTGTCTGTCCCACCCGGAGCTGGAAGCTTCAGTCAAGGGACTCCAGGGGAAAATGGGGCAGTCCGTGGTTGAACTGAGTGAAAAACCAAAGCAGATGCAATCAACTCTGCTGAACCCCATATTTCCCCCCAAGCACCTTAAAAACAAGCCCTGTATCTGCTCAGTGCTTTCCAGCTTACCAAGTGTTTTCATAACTCTATCTCGTTTCATCCTTACATCAACCCACACACATTCTTGCCTTTCAGATTTCTTATGTACTCAAACGAGTTTCACTGAAAAAATTGGCTAGAAACTCCCCTTCTCCTACTCACTTTTTTTTTTTTTTAACCCCACGCCTTTGACATATCTTTAAGAAGCTCCCAGATTCCCAGGGTGGGTGGGAAATGTTTTTATTCCACCAGCCCTACCTCACTGGATGGACTCCAGTAGTCCTGGTCTTTGCCATTGGAACTAACATTGTAATATTCAGTTTGTAGTTTCTCTGTTAAAACAAATCAATGAAGCCACAAGGGCCAGGATGAATGTGGGATTGTGGGGAAAACATAGGCTTTAGAACCAACAAGACCCAGAGTCAAATTCTGGTTCAGCCATTTGCGAGCTGTGTGGCCATGGCCCGCTTAATCTCTCAGAGCCTCTCTTCCTTCATCTGACAAATGGAACAGTGCCTATGTCTTAAAGTCATTGCGAGGCACAAATGTGCATCTGAGTGTACTTAGCTGCTTCATGAAGTCCCTTACGGCTAACCAGAGGCACCACTGCTAGGCAGATTACATACAATACTGTCTTTTTGCAAGGCAGGGGGAGGATAAAGCATGGAACCAGATTGCTAAATTAATTTAGATGGAGACTTTTTAACTTAATGACTAATTAGCTACGTGGCCTGCATACCTGGCACAGTGGTGCCAGAGGGAACTCTAACAATATATAAAGGAATTTTTATTTTAGGCATGAAAGAGAAAGAGCTGGGAAACTGGATGTATGTGATGTTGGAAAGCAAGGCAGGGCTGATCACACTTGGATTTCTATTGAAGCAGAATTGCACTGGGACCCGTGAGTTCCCGGGGACAAAGGTGGAAGACGGAGGGAGTGCAGAAGGATGTTTAGTTCGCCAGGCTGCACATAATAGAAGCTCAGTGAATGTCAGTTGTGGGCTGATGTGGTTTGGAGACTCCAGGTCCTGTGTTTCACTTCTGCTGCTGACTTCTCGGCAGAGGCAGCGCAAGACATAGAGTGGTAGTGGAAAAAACATTGGCCCAGTGGTCTGCAGGCCTGCGTTCAGATTCCATCTACACCATTCAATAGCCTGGTGACCTTGGACATGCCATTTAATCTCTTAGGTGTCTTCTCACTTGTAAAATGAGGAGACTGGACTCGGTGATTTGGAAGGTCTCTTAGCTCTAAGGTTCTGGGGCTCTATGTTAACTTCATTCACTGGTGTTTCTGTTTATTTAGTCGAAGGCAGTAGGGACAGAAGGAAGATATCCTATCTCACAGGATATTGGGAAGCATGTTCAAATACGCTGTGTCTTTACAGAGCTGATCCAGAGCAAAGTAGCAGAGTAGCTGTGTGATCTTTGGCAAGTGCCGTAATTTATTCCAGTCTCCGTTTGCACACTGTAAGCTAGGGACTGTATGTAGTACTGTGGTAATCTTCTTACATTCTTCCGAAAGCCGAGATCATGAAAATGCTTTGAAAAACTGCAAGGCGTTACAAAAAGTATTACGATCGAGAAATGCCATAGTTGTTATGCCGAAGTTTAGCCCCTGCCTCCCATATTTTCATGTGAATGAATGCACCACTGTGGCTCCAGTGGGGAAACAGAAAGTGTAGATTTGGGGTTCTAACCCAAGGCTTGCTTTCCATTCCAACTTACTGACAAGAGGTAAAGTTAGTTAAAATGGCATAATACAAAGTTTCCTCAAGAGCAGGCATCAGGTAGTTAGTTACCTGAAGGTTCTCCAATGTAGGAAATTTGCAGGAGGCCAGACATCTGCTGGCAGAGGCCTTACTTCCCAACCTCTTCAAAATGAGGCCATTTTGACACTTTAAGGGTGTGTGTGTGTGTGTGTGTGTGTGTGTGTGTGTGTGTTGCAGGGGTCGGGGGTAGCTTTCTGAGTAAAGAAAACCTCACAAGCAATAATCACAAACATGTAACGTGGCACTGTTGGTATGTAAAAGTGGTGAGTCAGTCTTTCATCCCAGGTCTTGCCAGGGATTGCTTCCGGGGAGAAATGGCAGAGGGCATTGGTTCTGCTCTCCCAGGGCTTACCTCAGGCCTTGTCAAGTTTCAACCTGGAAACCAGCTCTCCAAGCATTGGCTTCTCCTTTGGCTGCGGAGATGACAACATGTCACACCCAGCCTTCCAGAAATTTCTCCACCTTATGCAAAAGGCATGAACGCCCCTCCTGCCCCCCCACCCAGCTGTTAGCAGTAACCCCATACTGGAGCGTCTCTGCTTAGCACGTGTCCATAGAAGCATCGACCTCCATCAGGACACTACCTGGAGAGGAGCAGCATGAAGGTGGTACTGGGCAGCATAAATCAATTTGTGATTTATCTTACTGGGTGGAGTTGGGGTGGGGAGAAGCTCCTGAATTTCTCTGGCTGAAAGGAACAGCTTGTGGGGAGGGGCTTGAAGCTGTGTTTTCATAGGAAGTACACTGTTTATAACTTAGGTTGTATATATATGACTGACTAAAAATAGCAAAGTTATTTTTATTTAATTCTTATCCTTATTTTTATTTGGGCTTCCTCATGGTCCTGCCACTGTTAAACCCTCACCATCAATCCTACCATCCTTTACCTGAGATAAGTGTATGTATTTCCACTTTTAAGCACATATCTATGGATTTAATACGTCCACTACCTTTCAAGGAGCTGACTTCAAAAGCACGTTCAATTTTGCCAAGTTTTTGATAGCTCCCCCTTCCTCGTCTTCATACACACACTTTCTCAAATTCCCTGTACACATATAGATCAGGGTTCTAAAGCCATTTTACAGGAGTTTTTGAAGCAGAGGTGTGAAGCAACGCGCTCCAGCCACAGAGGGGCAGACTCCCATCCTGGCTGTGGGGACAGCGAAGCCTGACCACCTGGACAGACCCCTGGAGTTGTAATTCTTGCGCAGCGTGGGAGGGGTTTGGCTGAAGCTCTTTGTTTCTGCTCTTTGCAGCAGATCTGGGAGCCAAGGATGGTGGGGTGGGCTTGCGCAGTGCCCACCTGCACCCCATGCCCCGCGCCACGGTGTGTGTAGGTGTCCAGTGGAAAAACCCTACGACGACACCACATCCTTTCTCACACAAATAAAACCCTCCACGGATCTGCAGGCTGCAAATCAGCCCCTCGCAAGCTAACTCTTCTCCCCAGCTTCGCGTCCCCTCCCACCTTCCCACCGCCTCTTTTTCAGCGGTGCTCTAATCTCCACGCAGCTTGCCAGAGATGGAAGGGACGCGCCTCCCGCGCAGGGATCGAGGTGTCGCGGGAGAGGCCTAGTTTGGGGGCTGAACGCCGAAAGAGGAGTCCCGAGTTCTGGGTTGGGGACGAGGAGAGGGTGCAAAGGAGGCGCTGGAGGCATCCAGGGTCGAAGGATGGCGCCCTCCTACCGCGCAGCGCGGCGGCCGAGCGGTCACGTCCGGAACCCGCCCAGCGCCCTCCTCTAGCCCACAGTCCTCCTCCCGGAGCGCCCAGGGGACTGTGCAAGGAGGGGGGCGCGGAGAGGGGCGCGGACGCCGGCGGGTTCGTCCGCGGGAAGCGGCGTTGACATTGAACTCCCACCCTGGTGCGTGCGTGTTGCGCGCGCGCGTGTACACGCGCGTGTGTGCGTGTGTGAGTCGTGGGGAGGGAGGCCGGCTAGAAGCAAACCACGGCCTTCGGGGGAGCTGAGCCTGAGCGCGCCCCCGAGCCGCCGCCCGCGGGAGCTGCGAGAGCTGAAGCCATTCATGATTTTGGTGACGTTATTCCAGGAGTGGGTGAGAGGGGGCGGGGTCTCCCGGGGCCGAGCCACGCCCCCCGCCCCTATAAATACGGCTTCCCGGGCTCTTTGTGGGGCCGCGAGCTCGGTGGAGAACCGAGAGCTCCGTGTGCACTGCGGACGCCGCTGGCAGCGGGGCTGTCTCCGGAAGGCGGACCCGCGAACGCCTAGTGCTTGCGCTCGGCCGCCGGCCGCGCCTGTCTGCGCCCCTGACACCCTTACTCGGGACGCAGTGACCGTTTTTAAGTCACAAGGGCGTGGGTCAGCCTCCCCTAGGACTTCATGTCTGTATATTTCCCCATTCACTGGTGAGTATCCTGCGCCCTCGGCGGGCATCCGTCTCGCGGCCATGGCTGCGGGGCCCGGGCTCCTGCTCCTGCGGGCTCGGGTGCGAGGGCAGCTGGCGGCGCGGACGCCCGCACTCGCCCGCCTCCCAACCCGTGAAGGAGTCAACGTCACGGTTGCCCCGGTGGGGGCGGGGGCCGGGGGTGCCGAGAGCATCCAGACAAAGGGAGTGAACTCGAAGCCGTCACTTAAGTGACGGCTGCGAGGGTGTGTATGTGCTGGCGGTGGGGTGGGGGTGGGGGACCAGGAATCAAGCTTGAACCCCGCTAATAAAACCCTAATGCAGAGGGCTGCAGGAGGCACGCGCCCGGGCCGGCGCAGGGGGCTCCAGCTCTCCCCGGGCCCCTCCCCTTTTTCTTTTTGTTTGCATGCAAGTCTCGGCGTCGAGGCCGGCGGCCGCGGGGCCGAGCTGGTGCAGCGCGGGCGGCTTTTGCAGAGCTTCGAGGGGTGGGGAAAATTGCTCTCCCCACGCGGAACCCGGTTAAAGTCACAAGCAGCAGTACAAGTACACGCTGCACCCTCTCGGTCTCATTCCTCTCTATAACCCGTAAAACGCGATGCGGCTTTGTGGGGGCCGGGACTGGGGCTGGGGAGCCGCCCTCGCCGGATGGGCTGGAAGAATCCGGGGCCGGGCAGGGGAAGGAGGAGGTTCGCAGGGACCGGGGATCTGGGCCGGGAGGGATGCGCCGCGGGCGCCGCGCTTGTTGCGGAGCGAGGCCCCCAGCCGCGCCGGCTGCCGCTTCCTTCCTGCCTCGGGGAAGAGGAGGAGCGGCCAGGGGTCGAGCACTGGCGGCTTCGGAGCTCGCCTTCAGGTGCGGGCGCCGCTGACCGGCTCCGCGGGCTCCCGCTCGGCGCGGTCCTGCTCAGCCCAGAAACCGGAAAGTTCATGCTTCTCGCTTCAACTTTTCGGGCCCGCGCCACAGCCCGGAGCGAGGAGCGAGCGCCGCTACACCAGGCAAGGGGCTGGGTGGGCGCTCTTCGGGCCCGTTTCCTTGGGGGTCGGCGGCAGCCTTTCCACGACCCCGGATGAATCTGCCTTTGGAGTCCCCACTTTTGACCCTAACCCTTGCCCGAAGCCCAGCATCTTCTGTCTCTCCTCCCCCACGCTGGCTCTGTTTAGGGACATGAACTCTCCAAACAAAGTAAAAATTCCCCCACCCGTGAGGCTTGCGTACCCCCCTCCTGATGCGCGCCCCTTCCCTCCCACTTCCATGCTGTGTGAGCAGCAGGTGCCATGTGGGTGAGACTTCCAAGGCAACTGGAGGCTTTGTGCCCCTGACCGCCCAAAACTTGCCAAGGTGGGTGTCAGGGCCCATCAGGGTTATTATCCCCTGAGAAATGAAGGGAAATAAAATAATTGGGAATTATTTCATAGTAGTTTAGCACTTCATAGTTTGCAATGGTTTTTCTCGCCCCCCCCCCCCCCCCAGAGATTAGCCATTTAGCATAACTGTGGGATATGCATTATTAGCATCATGGTAAGAAACAGAGCACCTGTGGCTCAGAGAGGTTAGGTTACTTGTTCAAGATCACACAGCTTTTGAGTGACAGAGCTTGGACCAGACCTCCTGCTTCTGTTCACAAATCCAGCGCTCTTTCTACTCTATGTAGTCATCATAAAATAAAGAAGAATCTAAGGAAACCCTGCTTCCTTAGATGCAGTCGGTCTTAAAGCCTTGCCTGCTTTCTTTTTTTCTAACAATGTGTAAAGACATGATGGCGAAAATATTGGGTGTTGTGTAGGGCGTACACTGACTTTGGTATGTACTATTTGGCACTGTGCACTCGGGACCCCGTAGGTGCCCGTGGCTTGTGTGGGGATAATGGAACATTTGTATCCTGCTTACAGAGTACAAAGCACTTTCACATGTCAGCCATTGGTGGGCCAGCTTGGCCCCTCTGGAAATTTCCTTTGCAATCAGAGTCTGGGCATCTTTAAGGCTTTTAATCCAGGGGATGTTTTTCAAGCTGTGAGCTTGCAGCTGCTGTGGCTGGGCTAGGGAAGGGGATTGGATGGCAGATGTGACGCTTGCAGGAAGCTGACCCCTTGGGGCTTTAAGTGGGATATTTTGCAAAAAGGAACACCAGAGAGAGAGAGAGAGAGAGAGAGAGAGAGCGTGCGCGCGTGAAATTTAGCAAGGCAGCATTATTGGACTTGGTTTCCCTGAGGTTGACCTGTTATCATTATGTAATAATAACATGCAGTTCTCCTAGACACGGGTTGAATTGGTTTTAATAGAGACAAATGGACTCAGATACCTACTGGTATGGTTTTTTCTGTTCTGTCACTTAAAAGAAAATCCAGAGTTGCTCTGTGCCAGTGGGGACTTGTACAGGAGAGGAGGGAAGAGAGGTTTGCCAGAGAGGTTTCCAGGCAGTTTTGGGGCTTTGTTGGTTGAGACTGAGAGCCGTGCTGCCCTGGGCTTGTACGGCACTTCCTCAGGGTGTGAGCTTGTTTTTCTGTGAGGTCTGTTTTGAACACCTCTCATCCTGCCTCCAGACAGTCCCCTGATCTGACAGCAGAACGCACCAAGGATAGGAACATGAAAGTGCGTGTGTTTGTTGACTTTTGGTCTGGGTTTCTTGGCAGCCCTGACTACCTGAGATCTGCCGAGATGACTGAGGTGATGATGAACACCCCATCCATGGAGGAGATTGGCCTCAACCCCCGAAAGGATGGCCTTTCCTATCAGGTGAGTTCAGTACTGGGTTCATTCTGGCTCTTCAGAGCCTGGCAACTTCTGCTGGGGCTGGAGCAGACATGGTTCTGCATCCCAGTGCCACTTGGAACTGCTCTGTGACCTTGGGAAAGTCCCCTAATGCCGGTAAGCCTCAGTTTCTTCACCTGTAAAATGGGGCAACGATAGTCCTTACTGTGGAAAATGGTGGTAAAGATCCAACTTGATGAGGTGGTGTGGAGAAAGCATTCATAGTGCCTGGGACACACAGTAAGGGTTCAGCGAGCATGAACTGACGTCATTGGTTAGTCATGCCGGCTGCTGTGGACCCTCCCATTCACAGCAGCAAAGGGGAGACGTGATTTGTGCAGTCAGTTCAGACCAGAACTTCCCTTCCCAGCCAGGCCTTGGGCAGTAGAAACATCACTGTTGAAGGGTAGCTTATGGGCAAAGGTGATCTGGTGGAAGAATATCTGTGTCACATGCTGCTTTCTTCCTCAGATTGATGGTTGACCCGCTGATGCTAACAGAGTTAATGTTCAAAGTACTTAGTATTGAGGAGAACTGTCCCCAAAGGCAAGCTATCTCAGGGATGTGACTGCTGGCATGTAGATTAGAGTTCATCCTGTGTGATGGATCCAGAATACATAAGGACTCAAAAAGTGGCCCAAGTAACACCTTCAGATTCTTAGCACAGTGCTCTTCCTTGCCTGCCATGCCCTTGTGCGCTGGCCTGGCCGGCTACACAGCATCTTCAGATACCTCTGGGACAGTAGACTGTTTCCATATTTCCAAGAGGAGTTCCTAGGTTATTGCACGTGGGAGAGGAAGGAGTCTGTTTTTAAGGGAAGACCTTGGTGCTGGGAGCATTGGCGCGGGGAAGATGAATAGGGTGTGATGGGCCGGCCCATTCAGCAAATACTAACAATGTCTGCTGTGAGCCATGCACTTTGCAAATTTACTCGTTTACTCTTGACCGTAGCTCTGAGGTGGGAGTTCTTGCTCCGTTTAACAGGTGAAGAGACAGGCTCAGACTGAGTAGACCCGCACTCCAAAGCCTTGCTCTTCTGACATGTCGTGTGTCTGTGCCTGGAGCTGGTCTTGGTTAGAATCTGGACTTGCTCTGGCTAGTCATTCTGTAGAACCATTCCAGGGCATTTGTTTTGTAGAGGAAGAAACAAATAGAAAGCTGCGGGCGTGTGAGGGTGATGGGGGGTGGGGTTGTTGATCGAAGAGCTGAGATGAAAGCTAAGTCTGGGTAAGGTAACTTGGTAGGCGACACACTGGGAGGTTCAAGAAGGCCCCTTTGTTTTGTGTCAGTCTGGCCAAGCCCCTTTCATTGGCTGGAAATAAGTATTCATGTGGCCTGAGGAGATGAGGGGTTGGTTTTATACCCTCCACCCCCAGAGAGGGTCTGAAACAGACAATCAAAGGCCCCACAGCCTGTGGGAGGGTAGAAGTTTCCTGGCCCACCAGCCAGGGTGTTTTTGGATACCAGTTTCCAAGCCACTGAATCAGACCGAATCTCTCTGTGGTTACAGGTGAGACCTTCTTTCAGTTTTGGGTTTTAGATTTCCATCACAGAACGTTTCCAAACACAGTCAGGATGTCTTGTGTGTGCCTTTTATATTCTCCTTCTGAACATGTCCCAGGGTGAAGGGCCACTTCCCAGAGGGCTGTTGTCTCCACCTTCAGGCCATTCTTCAGGCCATACCTAAGGGACAGGTAAAGATGGCAGAAGGGGCTGAGCTCTGGGTGAGGAAGGCCAAGCTGAGATTGCAATGGCAGGGGGAAAATAACAAAATTGCCTCTGGGCTCCCAAAATGTCATGATGCGGCCTGAGAAAAGGGCCCGAGATCTTGTCTTGTGGTGCTGGCCTGAGGGCCCAGTTCTCACGGCCACTCAGGAAATCTGTTCCTGCTACCTGGGTGGGGGCAACTGTCCAGTTCCAAGATCTCTTACCTGGAACTTCAAAGCACTCTTGTCACAAGATTTCAGAAAGATCCTCTGGTTGCCTGATGAAGAGAAGGCGGGGGGAGGGTGTAATCTTTAACCAGGCCACATTTACTGGGCATTGGCTGTGTGCAGTGCGCTGTGGGTGGGCGCTGCGCCGAGGGAAACCAGCATGTGCACCATAACTGGAACATAGGCAGTCTGGTAAAGCAATGCAAAGCCATGGTCAGTCCAGGTGTGGATGGCAACGAGAAGGCTTGGAACGTCCGACTTGGGGCTGGGCCTTGAAAGAAAATTAGGACTGCAAGAGAGCACCTCCACCTCTAACCTAACTTTGTTGTGTGTCCCAATACCCCTTTGGTTTGTCCCTGTTTATGCCACGTGCGGGGCTCTACAGCGAGCTGATCTGACAATTGTCATATGACCGATATCCTCTGGGTCCCCTCAAAGCCAATGTCACCCAATGAAATGCATTCCCACCAGAGCTCTGGGGATTGGCTGGGACTGCGCTGGCTGGATAGCTCATCCTCTGGGCTCAGATCTGGGGCGGGACATCTCAGAACTCTGTTCTTGGCATTCTTCCTGAGGGTAATAATAGTACATGGCTTTTACCAAGACCTGCTTTTCCAAGGAACTGAAAGTGGGAAGGAGACATCAATCCCGACTTGGCAGATGAAATAGAATCTCAGGCTTGTGATTCGACCTTGAAACAAGGTCAGAAAATAAATAGGCACACTGGACTTTGTCAGTCATTCCCCCACCTTCCAGACCTACCCAGAACGAAGCTTTCCTAATCTCTCTGCCCCAGATGGGACCTCTTTCTTCTTTCAACACCTCTGGCTGGTGTGCTTTGAAACGATGCTTCCCTAGGCTTTGAGGATGCAGGTCCTGCCTGACCTTCTCCCTGCCCAGGTCTCTGAGGGCAGGGGATGCCTTGTTTCCCTCTCTGTGCCCATCAGCCATCACCTCCCCAACCCAAGGTGCCTGTTGGCTCCAGGCTTTCACAGAGCAGGTGTGAAGTGGCTGGTGGTTGTTCTGGTGAAGTTGAGTCTTCTGATCCTAAAGCTGGCCGTCTTCACCTCTACTTTAAGGTTTTTAAAAGGGCTGCCTCAGCTCATGCCTGTCAAGGCTTCAGATAAATGCCTTTTTATCCTCTGAAAAGTTCAGGTAAAGCCCTACCTCTCGTGCCTAGGATGATAGTGTCATTTTGTGAGCCTGTATACAAATCTGCGGAGCCAGTGCCTTGGTGCATCTTAACTTTATTTAGAGAGTCTGTTCCGTATGTGAAGTCCATGTCTGTGCACCCACTTGGCATGAACCAGGACACCTGGCTGGGTGGGTGAGTAAATGGTTACTCGAAAGTCTGAGTACCTGTTGGGCAGGCTGCGGGTAGCAGCCCGTTCACTGGGGCTGAGCGGGAGGGTCCCCGGGAGGACATTTAGGTCCCCAGTTGCTGCAGCTGCCTCCCTGTACTGTGGCTGCGGACCCCCTGTTCTCTGACCCACCCGTGGGACAGGAATGTCTGCTGCCTACACCTTCTTACTTTCCCCAGTTCAAGGAAGCAGGTCAGCAGCTGCCTGGCGGGGCCCTCCCTGGGCTCTGGGGGCTCTAAGGATGTAGCATTTTGGAATGCCTCTCTGGCTGGGCCTCCTTTCATGCTGCACCTGAATCGGCCCAGGTCCTGTGTGGGGAAGGGTCCTGAGAGTTTGCCTATAGACACTGCCACTGCCACGACCCAAGGGCTGTGGGCATTCTGGCCTTGCTGCCTGACTTGCCCCCCAGCACAGTGCTGAGACTTCTGCGATTGCATTGCCCTCACTAAGTTCTAGACAGAGGTATGGCTCCTTGGTTTTCTCTGAAAACGGCCCCTTCTAAAGCATCCGGACCGAGATCTGATAACTCTGTCCTTCCCTAAGCTTTTTAAATTCCTCTGTGATCGGCATGCGTGTCTCTCACTGGCTGTCCTTCGTATCCCTGTTGCTGTTCTTGGTCATGTACTCCTACCATTTGACATCCATCTGCCAGTCCGCTAGGCAGCGGGCTCTCCTCGGGGAAGCCGGGAGGATGTGCCGTAAATCAGAAGGAGCTAGCTCTTCACACACCACAGCGTTCTGCGTCCTGTGCTTTCCCTTTGATCCCCTGAGCTCAGGGCTTCCCTGCGCCCCCCCCCCCCCCCCCGTTGCTTCCTAAGACAGGAGGGAGGGATATCCTGGGTTTGGCACCATAGGGAGGAGGGAGAGTGGGGGGCTGACCTCTCGCCACAGTTCTGTCCTTTGCTTCTTGCAGTCTGAGAGCCTGAGAGCCTGAGTGTTAGCTTTCTTCTATCTGCAAGGCCCAATGACAGCCGACTCCCCCTGCCCGCCCCCCTACCCACACCCTGCACCTACCACTTCCCTTTATCAGAAGCAGCAGCTCCTGTCTCAGCCAACAGGCTTGGGTTAATCTCTGAAGTCAAGCAGCAGTTCAGAAACACCTTCTGTGCAGAGCCTTTCTTTATGAAGACCCCTGAGCCTGGCTCTCCCTGGGTGTCCCCTGCTGTGCAAACGTACCCGGTGCAGCAAGTGACTGGTTGAGCTTCCTCCCCAGGCTCAGCCCTCAGAGAGGCTGGAGCTGTGAGTCCCTGTCTCCGCTTCCCACAAGCCTCTGCTCAGGAGGCCATGCCTGGTGACTCCTTGACCAGCTCGGTCTCTTCCTCCTCATGCCCCTGTATCCCTTCCCAGTTGTGGTACCCCACCATGTTCTCAAGGGTTTTGGAAGCCCTGCTGAGTGGCCTCACGGAAGTCCCATGGTCACTAGGAAATCATCATCTTAAAAAGCCCTCGATTGTCCCTGGAGAGAAATAAAGCTAAAATTGCAAAGCATTTGGCCGGAGATACCCAGCCATGGACACGACATGTTGCCGGAATCACAGCAAGTTTTCCTTTTTCTATCCCCACTCCCTCCACTCCGCTCCCTCTTAGTACAAATCTTAATAATGTGATGCCAAACAGCCAGTGAGGGCCACAGGGTGTAGCAGGAAGGCTTTGTTTCCGAGTGGGTTTGTGTCTGCACATGCAATCTCT